CTTCTCAATGAGACCCATTGTGTATTGTGTGAAGTTTGTTGTGCCGCGCGCCGAGGACTATTGTGTTTGTGTCTGTGTCGAAGAAGGAATACCAAGGAGAGGCGGATCGAAGATACGGCACGGTTGTGATGTCGCAATGTGTTCGCCGGCTAGTTCCCTGTTGCGCTGTTGCAGATGCCGTGTCGGATTGAGGTCGGACCAGGTACTCGAATTATGTTATAATAATGCGCTTCACGCCCGTGAGATTGGTGCTCAGATTATGCGAGGGTAGATAGCGGGTAAACGAGTGTAGAGATGCGGCGCGGGAGAGGAACTATGTGATGAAAAAGGAACGGATGGCTGGTAAAAGACGGGATTAACGACTACGGTACGCGAGTTCCAAGAGGAAAGAGGGCCTTCCCTCGGATAGGTTGTTGGGGCGGGACAGTTGCTAGGCGTTCCAGGTTTCATGCACTGGGGCAGTTCTCGAATCCCAAGTTGCATGATTTGGGGTTAGCAGAGCCGAAAGCCAAAACATACCAGGCCTAGAAAAGCCATCGTGTCCGTGTCGCGGACTCGTGAGTCGTGGGCTGCCTTCATCCATTGCGCGGCTTGCTTGCATCGCAATTCTCTATTGCGGGGTGTAGCGGCTTACTTGCTTGACAGCTGGGCAATCTATAAGCACCAGCCGTCACGGAAACCTCTCCGAAGGCTCCAACACCCTGGAATTCCCAGAGTTCGCATCCAAAGGTTCCCGGTTCTCGAGTCAGGGTCTCACGTGGTAATCAGGGGTCTTGGGCGAGACCCCCAGAACGTGCCGGCGCCACCGCCTTGGCAACCGACGCTCGTCCCAGGGGCGCATTGCTAATCGTCGTGCAGCACAATTCATCCGCCGGGTAGCAATCGGTACGGCCGATCACAGAACAGAAGCGTTTCTTTTCGTAGGACAACGAGAACCACCATGACATAGGATCTGATTGCTTCTCCAAAACTTGATGCCCAAAAAATTCCGGGATCGCCATGCCGCATACCGTAGATCTATAGCCTCACCATGCTCCGTGCTCCATTACAGTTGAAATTGTCCGACCATGACCTCATGCGATTACTCGCGACTCCGGGACCGTGCCATCGACCACAGCGATCGCGCCAACATTGCCTGCATCTGCGGATCCGTTCAGCAATGAGATGACAGAAATGACATCCGAAGGCTCAAGCAAATGCCAGCTCGCCAGCGTCTGCTTCGAGCTGGCGCCAACCGTGACCGAGAAGACGTGATCAGTGGGCAGTTTGGATTGGCGCAGCGATCGGAACATGTCTGTTGATGTTAGCGAGTGAACAGCGCAGCCACAAGTGCAACACATACCTTCATCTGTAAAGTCGTCGCCCATGCAGAGAACAAACTCAGGCGCATTGCCGGTACCTTCGCCGTAGTTCTCTACAAGCGTCTTCGCGATCTCGCCCTTGTTCACGAACCTCGGGCGAACCTCAAGGTTGGCTTTACCCGTCATGACCTCGACGTCGTGCTTCTTTGCGACAGTCCTCTCGAGATGCTTCTGGCACTCACGCGCCTGGAATGCACCGTATTCGGGATCCGCTCTCCGGTAGTGCCATGTCAGGGCAATCTTCTTGCGTTCGATGAATGAGCCTGATCATCTGTTAGTAATAGGTAGTTTGATTCACAGTGTAATAGCTCACCTTGTGTCCTCTCAGTGTAGTGCTGGAAGACGTCAATAACCTCCTGCTGCCAGCTCATGTCGGTCGTCTCGGTGAGATTGTGCCATTCCTGACTGCGTGGATGCCTCATAAAGCTGCCATGCTCAGCACTCAGACCCAGCTCGGGAATGTGGCCCATCCATTCGTCCAGGAAAGCCTGGTCTCTGCCGCTGATGATCCAGACAGCATTCGCAGGGTCAGCTGCTAGGGTCTTGAGAGTTCGAATAACACGATCGGATGGAATAGCTGCCTGCGGGTCTTTGACAATGGGTGTCAGAGTGCCGTCATAGTCGAACATGAAGAGTCGCTTCTTGGCCTCGCGGTATTGGAAGAGTAGTTTGGCCCGGTCAAGTGCTGGCGTAGCGAATGCTTGGTCGAAAGCTGACAGATTCGTCATCAATCGCTTCAGGTAGTTGTTCGACCAAGCCTGGACATTGTTTTGCACAACATGATTGTAGAGTTGGGCGTGAGTCTCGGCACGAACTTCGTCACTCTGGTTCAGAGCGTCGTTGATCGCATCGGCAACTCCGCCCATGTCCCAGGGATTGATGTGGCTTGCGCTGTGCAAGGAACTCGCAGTACCAGAGAACTCCGAAAGAATGAGCGGTCCATGATTATCCTTTTGGCAAATGATGTATTCCATACTTGTCGTGTTCATACCGTCTCGCACGCTGGTGATGAGGCCGATGTCGGCAAGTCGAAGCAGAGCAAAGTATTCCTCCCGGGAAAGGTACTGTGGGAAATGACGGACCGGGGTGAAATCGAGGGTTCCGTAGGTGCCGTTGATTTTGGCCGCAAGGTCCGAGATCTTGTTGACCACCTTTTCTTGGGCGCCATCACTTCTATCGGTATGGACTCCGCTCGGACTGGTGACCTGGATGAGAACTACTTTGCCGACCCACTCGGGATACTTTTGAAGGAAGAGCTGGAACGCCTGGAGCTTCTGAACCACTCCGCGAACCGCATCCAGCCTGTCACGACCAACAATGAGCTTCTTGCCAGCATACATCTCGCGGATGTCTTTGAGTTTATGTTCAATCTCCTGGTCGCCAAAAGCCTGTCGCTGTGTGGAGACTGCATTGATTCCGATGGGAAACACGTCGACTGCTACGTGCGCGCCGTATGCATCGACTCCAGAGGAAGACGAATCGAAACCCAGTATCCTAGTACAGCAAGACGAAAAGTGCCGCGAGTAGCTGTATGATTGGAAACCGATCATGTTGGCACCCAACACGCCCTCCAGGATCTCTTTCCGTCTGCTCAGGCAGCGGTAGAACTCGCTACTTGGGAAGGGAATGTGCAGGTAGAAGCCAATGTATATGTTGGGCAGACGTTGGCGAAGGAGACTTGGCAAGAGCATTAGGTAGAAATCGTGTACCATGACGATGTCGCCTGGCTTGTAAATTTCGAGGATCCTGTCAGCGAAAAGCTTGTTCATGCGGTAGTAGTCAGCCCATGATTTCCGGGCGGCGCGTCCATCAGCTGGCTCGTTTTGCTTGTAGTGGAAGAGTGTGTAGAGCTCGTGCTCTGCATATGTCCTCCAATGGCTCTGGTTTTTCAGAATGTACTCGTCTTTGCCGTCGTCAACCTCGTCGACAAGCCACACTGGCACGATTCTGCCTCCGTGATCGCGCTCGAGTTGTTTATCCAATCGTGCTCGATCGTCTGGGCCTATTCTGAAGCTGTTTGGAGTTTGGGGAACTTGTGTCGGTTTCTTTGGATCGACAGGAATGGGCGCGGCAGCCTTGTTCATGGGTGCTTGCGTAGCTGTGACGGAGGCTGTCTTCGCGTGCGCGATCTCACCGGTCCAGCCTACAAGCACGTGGTTCCACGGAGAAGAGCTAGAAGCCAGGTAAGAGAAGGAGTCGAAAAGGGCCGAGGTTCCGCGTCGCGGGTTCAGTTCCCAGTCGTTGCCCTGTGAGTAACCAATTGAATAGGGTATGGCAAAGGTCGCACTGATAACGCGACCGCTGAGGTTCAAACCAGGGTGTGCAGCGCGAGGATCTACATCTGCAAGATCGTGCTTGGCATCTGGGTTGGGTACTTCGCTCGTTTCCCTCTTGACGTCTCCGTCAGTCTGTGCGCCGGCTGCCTTTTCAGTCTGGGTGCTAGCCTGGCCATCTTTTTGCTGGCCAGAGAAGTATGAGTTGGCGCTCCATTGGGGGCCTGGTGTGGCAGTCTCGGGATCGAAGGGGAGGTTGTTCGTCTTCTCGGCAGTGGACTCGTCGAAGTAGGCAGTTTTGCCGGAGAGATGTACGCCGGGTGTGACGGGCACGTTGGTAATTGCGGGGTTTAGCGCGGGATGTGTGCTGTCTTGGGAGTCGAGCGGAGGCCTCTGGGGCTTCTCATCTGTGGGAGGGGCCATGGTGGGTGTAAGCGTAGGCGGTGCTCTGCATGGAACTGTCAGGTACTTGTAGGCGAGAAGATGAAAGGTGAGAGGATAATAGGTGAGGAATATGCCGAGTCGTGGACAGGCAGTGCAATGTGTATGTGCATGCAGTGGTGAGGCGCGACTAAAAATAATTATGAAATGTGAATTACCTGGTGCTTGAGTCGCTGTCCTGGACGAGTCTCACAGGAAAGAGCTCCGCAATGGGTCTGGGCTGGGGCTGTCACGGAACGAGGGGAATTTAGGGGTCTCAAACGAAAGGTGGTGTGAGAAGGAAATCAGGGAGAAGACACCACGTGTGTCGAGAAGCTCACAGAAGGTCGACGAGGGTAATGGGGGAAGAAAAGCTGGCCGTGGTGGGATGGTTCAACGCCCCACTAACATAGCTGTGACGTTGGAACCGACCAGCTCGGGCCTCACGGTCTCTGCAGCAGGCAAGGCATCCAGGACAGCAGCGCACCATTACCGCCTCGTCGAGCCTGCACGCGCTCCGCTCGCTGACCGCTCTGCGAAGTTTTGTTGGGCGTGTCAATATGATGTCAGGCAGCTTTCATATCGGACGAGGGTGTGGGCCGGCGCAAGTGCTGCAAGTGGACCGACGGAGACGCCTTGGGGCCTCTGCAGTGCCTGTGGGGTATTGGGGGCAGTCTGGCCGCCTTCACAAATGCCCTTCACATATCATGGGACATGGCAGATGCAGGGCTAGCAATAAACGTGTCCAACGGCTGGGTGCATACGAGAGCGACTGGTAATGCAGCATGCCCGCGGGAGTGCCTGGCATCCTCCGCCGTCGACTCGTCGGCCCAAAGCGGACTAGATGCTTGGCACCGTGCACGCGAAGATGCATGCAGAAGATTCGTAGAGCGAGCACAATCACCACCTTGCCGGATTACGAGTCGTCGTTATCGCTCCGAGCCTCATGCAGCTCTCGCGCACCCGGCTAATATGTCGCGCCCATAACCGCTTCAATCCGTCAATCGCGCTATGGCAGCACTTTGTGCAGGCCAGTCCGTCAACACCCCGCGACCGGCGCCAGCTTTCTACTGCGACAGAAGCTGCACAAGATGGCGCCAGCTCAAGTAGCAAGAACGATGTTTCTCAGGCTCGCGATGCCCAGGATACCGAAGTAGTCACCGAGAATGCAGAGGCAAAGCAATTGCCAGTGAGGAGAATGACCACGGTCAAAGGCCGTTGGCTATCCAGCAAGGTCGAGGTTTCGGTTGCGAAAAATAAACACCTGAAGCGGACAAAGCCAGATATCTCGAACGTCGAATCCCAGAACCAGCTGGCGATTGCGAGAGACGCGTTCGCAAAGTCGCAAGATTACCAGGGTGTAGTTGTGCGGCCCATCGTGGGCGGGAAGCCCATCAGAGAAAGCGCGCTGCCATGGTGTGTGAACATGGAGGGAGAATCATCAATGACAGGCATGGATCGGTACTTCCCCAAGCGAACCTCACTCGTAATGCATGCTAAGTCGAGATCCAGTCTACATTCAGAAATCGTGAAATTCTACAACTACACAAAACCCGATCGATACGAAACGGCCGCCCGGAGGCACCTCATCGAACAGGTGCAGCGACAGGTTAAACAAGTCCTTCCACAATACAACGTCGAGGTGTTTGGCTCTGAGCGGACTGGTATAGCCATGCCTCTGTCAGACATAGACTTCAGGCTGGTCTTAAAGTCGCAACCGTTAGACCCCGCGAAGGTGCCAAAACTCCCGCCCGACACGAAAGAGCGGAAGAAGGGCACACATCTTTTGCATCAGTTATATTGGAAGTTGTTCAGTAAGAACGGAGCATACCTGCTGGCCGCGGTTCGTCACGCCCGCTATCCTCTCGTCGCCGCGCAGGACCGCAAATCGGGCTTGGATGTGCAGGTTGTGCTCTCAAACGATACATCCATCTCGATGGTCACCATGCAGGAGTATATGGAGAAGATACCCTACTTGCGAGAACTGTACTGGGTAGTCAAGACCTTGTTCGATACACGAGGCCTTTCGGACGTATTCCGGGGCGGTTTTGGCTCCTACTCCCTCTTCATGATGGTAGTCGCTAGCATAAAGCATGCACCGAAACCGCCAAAAGACTCGGCGCGTGCCCTCCTCCACTTCCTCGACTTCTGGGGCAATTTCGACACGACGAAGCACGGTGTATCTATCGAACCAGCTTACCTCTTCGACAAAGTAAAACACCCTGTCCTCACGGATGCGCGGAGGGCTCAGCTACAGGTATGGAACCACCGATCTTCGTCTTTACATCGTCCATCATGCTAACCACCACGCAGAGCGGAGAAACCCAACCCCTCCCCTCGTACATGCTCTCCCTCCGCGACCCCGCCGACGAAACCAACGACCTCGGCCGCAAAGGCATAGCCATCAAGCACGTCCAAGCCACCTTCCGCGATCTCCACAAGAACCTCCTCCTCGACATGAAATACAACAAGCGAGCATCCATACTCTGCCCTCTCGTGGGCACATCGTACATGCTACAACTCGAACGTCGCAGGAAACTACAAAACTACGGTCGCGAGTGGGTGGAGAGGGAACAAAAGGACCTTGCGAAGCTGGCAAAGCAAGTCAGGGAAGGGACAGAGGGGCAGTTGGTGTTGGAGAAAGAGAGTGAGGTAGAAGATTGGGACAAGGAGACTAGAGAAGCGATGCTGAGTGGGCAAACCTTGGAGGATATTGAGAAAGAAGAGGCTAGACTGCGCTTAGCCAAAGAAGAGCGGGATAGGGAGTGGCGGAGGCTCGCCGAGGAGAAGACTCAGCGGTTGAAGGAAGAAGCGCAGAACACGTCGATACTAGACCATGGTGATACCATGTCTTCGATCCTGGGTGTGGGTATGCCGGCAGTAGAGGATCCGCAGACAAGTAAAGACAGTGTGGACGGACAGGGCGACGAGGCGAAGAAGGCCTAGTCTGCTTCACGAAGGTCACCAATGTTGTAAAAATATCATCATATGCAATCTTCACATATCCGCATCTCCAGTCGCCGAGGCTCGACCCCAGCGAGATCAGTAATCAGAAAACAAGCACACGCAATTCAAGTCGAGCGTCAGAGAAGAAATCGAGCCTGTTGTGCTAAGAGTGATAATAGCCAGATGCTATGAACCCCCGTCCAGCATGCATGCCGTAGTACAAGTGTAAAAACCCCCATCAGTCACTACCCATGAAAGTCTGCCCCTGTCCATCATCCTAGCCTTCCTTTCGCAGATGCTAACGACAAAAGACACGCTCTCCGCCGCACCAGTCGTGACGCCCTTTGTGCGCTTCGACAATCTAGATGGCGTACTTGCGGGTCCATTCACGCGCCGTCGATTCGTAGCGGGACCGGTCGGTCTTGTAGACGTGTGCGATCTCGGGGACGAGCGGGTCATCGGGGTTTGGGTCTGTCAGCATCGAGCAGATACTCAACAGCACTGTGGTTTTGTTAGTATCAGAGCTGATTTGCTATGAGGAATCGGGCAACGCACCCTTTGAGATGGTCAGAGCAGGGCTCCATTGGTCTCGCAGAATATCCAAGCAGATGCTACCGTTGGAGTTGATGTTGGGGTGGTAGATGCGGGTGGTGAAGTTGACCTTCGGGGGCTTGAAGGGGTAGTCGGTTGGGAAGTGGATTGCTAGGAAGAAGACACCGCCGGAATATGGTGAGTCGCCGGGACCCATAATGGTTGCTTGCCAGTGGAACTGAGGTTAGTTAGTATGGGTTCTGTGGGCATGTCGGCAAGCGCCTCAGCCGCGGGTCTGTCTTGTAGAGGAGTGACGTACCAGATCATCTCCAATAGGGCCAGCGGAACAGGAAGAGGGAGGGTCACTAGAGAGATCATGTCAGCCAAATGTTATTCTCGTAGCGTTTTCGCAGGGCCAAAGCGTTGCGGCCTTGTTGCAGGTCCTCGCGTGCGGTCGTGGCCATGCAAGCAAAACAGCGAGCCTCGCCGCCAGCCACGAGGGCCGAGAAAAGAGTCACGTACCGGCCGAGATCGGTCAACTCCTTGTTGATGCGCTTGAGAGCCATGGCTGCTGTGTATGTGTATGTGGTGTGGAGTGGTGGTGACGGGTATCGCGGGTGTCGGGGTCGAGCGAGTTGGTGTTGAAGAGTTGAAGTGGGATGTCTGCGCAGGCAAGGCGGTTAGTTAGCGGCGGGGATCCAAAGAAAGCAAGTGCGGCGTGTCAGCGCGGGATCCTCATCCGCCACTCTTTAACTCACTCACCTCTGACTCTATGTGAGGACAAAGACGGTCACGCTGTACGAGCACGATGTTTTGCACGATGGGGCTGGCGCAGGGGCGTTTGCATTTATCATGTGTGAGGAGCCAACCGCAAGAGGCGAGACAAGCTGACCGCCCAACTGTCGCTGCCCACATTTCCACCGAGCGTTTCTACCCAGCAACCGCGCTGGGTGGCAACCTATCGAAGCCTGGAGAAGATGCCTCAAGGCTGACATGCACATTCACGCCTGCTTCTGAAAAGACTTAGTCACCACGCATTGGGCGGTAGCGAGGCCTTTACTCGGGTGGCGAACGGCACTGTGGATACGAGCAATCAGATGTGATACTTGCCGCGTTCGAGGCAAGAGTCGCCGGGTTTGATATGCATTTACTTCTAAATAAACATGGCCTGCATGCGTACCACCGCTAGGCGCCTACAGCTGACGTGTTGCTTGTGATTGGGTGCGCTTCTACGTATTCTTGTTGGTAGTACATCAACAACCCGAGTATATTTCACCATTAGCAGAATGCTTGCAGACCTGTGATTGCGCGACCGAGGATCAAAGCTGATGCACGTTAGTCAGAGTCGAGACACGTTTCGATGATACTCACAGTGGATGTCGCTCTGGCCCTCGTACGTCTGCGTCACAAACAAGTTGGCGACATGTCTTCCGATCCCGTACTCATCGGATACTGCGTTTCCACCAAACACCTCTTGTAGTCTGGCCCAAGTCAGTATATTTCGGTCAAGCGCTTGGTGGTACTTACGTTCGCGCGTTGATCAAAGCCCGGTCACAGTTCTGTCTCTTGATCATAGAGATCATCTCAGGTGCAGCTTTGCCCTCGTCCTTGAGCCTTCCGACTTGGTGGGCGGCCAGAATACCGTATGCAGCATCCGTCGTCGCGTCAGCTAGCTTCTTCTGCACAAGCTGGTACTTGGCAATCGGGTTATTCTTGAACTGTTTCCTCTCGAGGGCGTACTCTCGCGTTCTTGCAATGCAGTCCTCGAGAGCACCGATAGTCCCCCAGGCAATGCCATATCTGGCCGAGTTGAGACAGCTGAAGGGTCCCTTCAAACCTTCGACCTCCGGGAACATATTTGCCTCGGACACGGGACACTCATCAAGCTGGATCATGCCGGTAATGGACGCCCGCAGACCGTTCTTGTTCTTGATTGGCGGGGTCTCGAGAGTACCCGGTGGACATTGGTCGCGTTCAATGACAAAGCCACGGATCTTGCCAGTCTCCTGCAGCTTCGCCCAGACAAGGAGAACATCGGCAATGGGCGAGTTTGTGATCCACGTCTTTGATCCAGACAGTGAGTAGTAGCCTTTCTTGGTGGGATGCGGCTTGGCAGTTGTCTCTAGAGAGCCTGGATCAGATCCGTGGTTAGGTTCAGTCAGACCAAAGCAGCCCAGCAGTTGGCCCTTGGCCATCTTCGGAAGGAGGCGCTCCTTCAGCTCTTCAGATCCAAACTCCTCGATACCGCCCATGGCAAGTGAGCTTTGGACTGAGTAGCCGGAACGATATCCAGAATCGACTCTCTCCACAGCTCTGGTGATCAGACCTGCGGCAACACTGCTGACTCCGGCACACTCATAGCCCTGAATGCTCGCACCCAGTAGCCCTAACTCGCCCATTTCCGTGATGATCTTCCTATCAAAGTCCTCATTGCGGTATGCATCTGTAACACGTCAGCTAGCTCTAGACTCCCCACAACGTTATATGTACCTAGCACTCTCGGGAGCATGCGCTCTTGGCAATATGACTCTGCTGTCTCCGAGATGGCTTGCTCTTCTTCTGTGAACAGGTTGCTTGTGTTCAATGGATCTTGCCAGTCAAACTTGACGGGAGCATGTAGGTACCGCTTGCCGAGGGCCGCAGACCGGAGTGGGGTGCGCAATTGCCTGGTGGCATGTCTGTATGTTGGTCGCAGCATTTTGGAGTCGTGATCAGGAATGTGGGAAGTCTTCCAGCTACACAAAGGTGACAGTTATACCCGGGTTCTCACGAGAATCTGCGTAATTGGATGAAGTTGGCCTCGGAAGTCCCACCGTTGAAAGAACCGCGGCAGGCGGTTCGGAAGCACTCCGCGGTGGCAAGAAAGCTAGCATCATCACTCCAGACACGCGGCAATTGAAGGATTTGGCGGGATCACGAGTTGCAGATAGCAGATCCGAGATGCATCGCCTGGAACGCATGCAGAGCCTCACTAAGCGATGACAGGCAAATGTGGGGTAGCGACGCCAAGGAATGTAGACCGTGATTGCGCGCGGTGAGACGCGAACGCGTCGTGACGATCGTTGGCGTCACTTTCTCCAGCCACCACGCAGTCGCCTACGCTTCTACACACAACACTCTGGGCCAACAGCACCTCAAACCCATCTGAATAATACAACTGCCAGAGAAAATCAGTCGCCATGGGTATCAAACACCTGTACCAGCTCATCGAGGAGCATGCGCCAGAGGCAGTCAAGAAGGGCGAGATCAAGAACCAGTTTGGACGTAAAGTCGCCATAGTACGTCTGCTGCCGTCTTCACTACGCGGTCAATTGCTAACATGCCCAGGATGCGTATGCATGTTCTAACCCCTCTACGACTCTCCCATCTAATATTGTGTAGATCTATGAGCATCTACAGTTTCCTCATCGCAGTCCGCTCCGATGGCCAGCAGCTCATGAGCGAGACGGGCGAAACCACATCTCATCTCATGGGTCTCTTCTACCGCACAATGCGCATGGTCGACAACGGCATCAAGCCCCTCTACGTCTTCGATGGCGCTCCGCCCAAGCTCAAGTCCGGCGAGCTCGCCAAGCGTTTCCAGCGCAAGACAGAGGCACACGCGGCAGCTGAGGAGGCGAAAGAGACGGGTACAGCGGAAGACGTTGAGAAGTTCTCGCGGCGGACAGTCAGGGTCACGAGGGAGCATAACGAGGAGTGCCAGCGCTTGCTCAAGCTCATGGGCATCCCGTACATTGTCGCACCGACCGAGGCTGAAGCTCAATGTGCTACGTTGGCGAGAGGAGGCAAGGTGTACGCCGCTGCTTCAGAAGACATGGACACCCTTACTTTCGATTCACCCATTCTGCTGCGACACCTGACCTTCAGCGAGCAGCGCAAAGAGCCCATCCTGGAGATCCACCTGGACAAGGTGCTCGAAGGTCTGAACATGGAGCGGAAGCAGGTACGAATAGGTCACTACCTCAAACATATCATATACTAACCACTGTCAGTTCATCGACCTCTGCATCCTCCTCGGCTGCGATTATCTCGACCCCATCAAAGGCATCGGCCCAAGCACCGCCCTCAAACTCATCCGCGAGCACACCGACCTTGAGGGCGTCGTCGAGCACATCAAATCCCAATCCTCCAAGAAGCTCACCATCCCCGACGATTGGCCATTCGCTGATGCGCGTCTCCTCTTCCTCGAGCCCGACGTGCGCCCCGCCGACGACCCAGAATGTGACTTCAAGTGGGAAGCACCTGACGTAGAAGGTCTCGTCAAGTTCCTAGTCGAGGAGAAGCACTTCAACGAAGATAGGGTGCGTAACGGAGCAGCCAAGCTACAGAAGAACATGAAGACGGCGCAGCAGAGCAGACTAGAGGGCTTCTTCAAGCCGATTGAGAAGACTGCTGAGGAGAAGGCTAGTCTCAAGCGCAAGGCAGAGGAGAAGCTCGAGGAGAAGAAGAAGAAGCAAAAGGCTGATGCAAAGGCGAAGAAGCAGGCCAAGGCTAAGCCGAGGACTGCTGGTTAGGATTAAGAGATGTTGGGGAGGCAGTGTCGGGTTTTGCGCAAAAAGGGCGTTTGTGGGATAGTGATACCGGTGGGCTTACGGCGTTTCCAAGGCATACGATACGTATATGGTTCGTTATCCCATGTCTACTTCATGGTGTCTCGACGTGCAGCTTCGTTCTATATCAAAGCAAGGAATTTAACAGCATTGTAACATACACGATCCATAACTTAAACGCTTGAGTATCTTCGTACTTCCCAGCTTGGTCTTGTTGTCTTGTTCATTCGCACAGTGTATCCAAGTTTAAGTCTCAGTATGCACCTCAACATCGTGTCAAGCATTCATACTCACTTCATGTCATGCTGTTTACACATCTACGAGCCTATGGTGCACTTCGAAAGTCAACAAAAGGTGATTTCAAAAAAAACCTTTTCGACAATTCTGTAAAACTTCTACCGATGCGGAAACGTTTTAATGATCTAAAGAGCATTGTGTCCACATCTGCCAAACTCCGAATCTTGTTCTACGACTTTGATATTTCCATGGCTGACCCCGATGACGCGCATTACGCTGATTTCACTCTATATGCAGGCAAAACTTTAACGGATCAAACCACAATACTCGTCATCACAATACTCAAAACTATAGAATTCGCCGACTTTTAGCGGATTCGCCTCTGACATCACTTTTAATACCCGTCATCCCGTTCTTACTACTCTCGCGCATCAACCCAAACCTACAGCCATCACCATCGTCATCCCAAGACGGAATGCAAGTAACCCGGCGAACCAAACCCTATGTCTCCAACGTCTCGAACCAAAATATCACAGCACACTACCCTAGCGCCACAACTGCCCGGGCAAGGGAAACTAGCAATCCCATCACTCACCAGAAAACCACATCACATTCGCAACACCTTGTTTCAAAGAAGTGACCAAGCAACCATCATCCCTTTCCATGCCGCCGAGCCCACACACAAAGAATCCGTAACGATAGCCCCCCCGCACGGAACCATGCATTCAACCTCGCAACGAGTCACGCCCAGCACGAAACACGTCTCAGCAAACGATAAAAAACGGGCGAACGACAGCGCGGAACTTACCTGCACCTGACGCGGCATCATCTCTACACCCAGGGTCCAGCAGCACGCACTGAACCTGCCCCTCGCCCATCCGGCTTATCCCACCACCGCCGCTGTAGGTGCGACACGCACGCACTACCACATCGAAACCTAGGCCTAGCTAACAGTCGTTGAACCGGCCAAACCAACCACTCAACTTTAATCCCCTTCCTTTCCGAGCGACTTTGGTTCGAAACACGCGGGAAAATTTCGGTACCTAAGTATCTCTTTTTGCAAGCTTCCGTCGAGCGCCGAAACGGGGCGTGGGAAGCTAGAATGTTTAGGTGGGGGAATGTTACGTTCTGACGCTGCTGGCGTTGACGTGGATGTGACATGACATCTGACTGACTGACGGATGGATAAAGCAGAGAGAGTTCACGCCAGTGCTGTTTGCAGCCGGAGCGCCAGCGTTGACAAGACACGGATGCCTGCTCTTGCGCTATTGACGGATGCTTCCGCGTTAGAGTGGTTCATAGGTGCGTTTGTTAAGGGAGTAGACTGGTCGGCTGGCCTGCCTGATGCTGTTCGGTTGCAACGTGGGCCGGAGAGTTTTGGAGACATTGTCGTTGTTCGATTGTATGGATGTAGGAATGTATGGGGCAAGTTCATAGTGTAGATTGCGCTAGCACGAAACGAGCCAATTTCTAGCTATCTACTCTTCCACACGAGTCGAGATAATCACACATAACCATCAATCATCCCGAACCCGTCATATCAGCGATGCCTCCCACGGAAAATCCACGGCAGGTATAGCGCGAGCCGAACGCAACGCAACCTGCGAGCCTAAAATATTGACTAGCCCAAAGAATCGCGCCACGTTATCGCGCCACTTAGAGTTTCCAAGGGTCCAGGGTCTTGAAGACAGCGTTGGTGGTTGTTCGACGCAAGAACATGTTGATTGATCGACGCAGCGCGAACGCGGGTCCCGGACGAACTTCCCCACAGACAACGTTTCAGTTGCTGCAGGGTGGATCTACACCGGCCGGTGTACTCGCGTGGTATGTACATTAGCACTATCATGTGAAGAATGATGCGCGTTTTTGGTATACTGGATAAGGGAAGGTTTGCTGTGTGGTAGGCGTGTTTCAAGGGTCCTTGGATACGCTTTTTACTGCTTTAGGATGTGGGTATCTTGGGTATCTATTCATGTTTGCGGGTTTACTCATCGTTGTATGTATTGAGTCCAGGGATATTACACAAGTCAGGCGAGTTGCTCAACGGGGTAATGCGTCGTCGATCCGGCGAGAGTTGCGTGGTTTCTGGTGACAAGGGAAAGCGAGGTTGGGTTCTCATCCCTGCTGCTGCTCTTGCTGCTGCTTCGAACTCGTAGCACCAATGCGCATCATACCCAGTACGCTACTTTGAGACTGGTGCGCTAGCTTCAGCGGCGAATAGCGAGACTCTGGGAGGCGGCGGCCGGCTTTGATGCTGTCTAGAACCCTGTTCAACGTGTCAGTCAGTCAATATCCTAAGCAGTGTCTTGACAGAGGGCATGTATATGTTGTGCATAAACCCAATCACATGCGCAATCGTGTGTGAAACAGCCGGACAAGCTGTGACGGACGGGAGATGCGCAAGCCCAAAGGCTTACTTTGCAGTTGACTTACCATTCCGCATTGATGAACTTGACAGCCTTGCCACCTGTGCGAGTAATCTCCTTCTGCATCTTGCTTGCTGCTAGGCCGCCGCCTGCACCACCCCCACCGCCAACGCAGTTTACTCGACCAAGTATGACGTGCGTTACGGTTCGGCGGCCGAGAGATATCGAATGGCTAGCGCCATGGGCAGCGCAGAGCTGCTTGAGCTTGTGGTCTGAGACTAGAGGGGCGGTGGAGCCGTTGAGGTAGAAACAGAGACCGGTGAATATCTGCTTTTCGGAAGGTTTTGACGAGGCTGAGGAGACGTCGCTCTGGGGATGCGTGTCTGAGTCGGTTCCCACGTCGGAGAGCACTGTGTCTTTCTCCTGTGATGGCTTTCTGCTGCTGCCCGCCTTGCTCGCAGCCCATACCTCGGCCAGGCTCTTCTGTCCGCCGGTCCTCAGACCCTTTGCGCCCTTCTCCCAGCTGCCGTTGTCCTTGCGGCCATCCTTGCCAAAGTCCTCACTGCCTGCACCGACCGTATCCGCGACTCTCTTGCCACCGTCCCTGCCAGCCCTGAACTGCTCGCCCAGCTTGAGGCTCCGTGAGGCGCGCCATGAATTGGACCCTCCGAGGCGGTTCTCCGCGCGCTGATGGCCAGTACTGGAGCTGTTCCAGGGGTCGAAGAAGGTGCGTCTGGGCGGTGCGGCGGCGACGGGGGACGTTGGACGGGGACGCGTCGCGGATGAGGCTGCTTCAGGCGCGTCAGACGCGTGCGCAGGTGACGGGCGGGCGGCATGGCGGGCGTCGTCAGAAGTCGGGTCCGCGTTCGGGATGCGAGTTGCCATATCGGGTGCTGATCTTGCGTCGACGGTTAGCTTCGGGGCCCTTCCAAGCCGGGGGGATGTGATGCGAGTGCATTTTCGCCTGCCCGCCGAGAATGCACATGAAGGAGTCCTTCCTGTCCACTGACGTTGCAACGGGCACCCGAACCCGGGCTGCATGCGGCATGGCGTGGCGGGGGCGGCTTACCCTGTTGTTGTTGTGCGTGCAGACGCATGTGGGAACAGCTGCGGGCTCAGTGGGCAGTGTGATTAAAAACAAAGTTTACGTACGCCAGGGTCCTGAGTCGAGTTCCATTGGTTTTGCAAAACAAACTTTGCTAATCCCATGCTGCGACGTCTACGCGAGGGCAAGGCAATCCTTTGCGTGAAACCATGAGGTTCAATACGGAAGGTCAGCAACAGCAGCCTCGTTCCTGCGCGGCCTCGCTCCTCACCTGAGGGCCAGGCCGCCAATGACACGAATGCGATATATGCGCCATGCTCAAACAAGCTGATTGTGATGTGTGTGTATTATCCATTACTCGTCCATGTCTGAGATGACACAATTACACTAAGTATCTCGGATATCGATGCGTGTTCCGCAGCAACGCAGTCGCGTGCCTTTTCGTATGTACAGCCGGAGAAAAGAAACATGCTTCCAAAAACAATTCGTTGTAGTACGCCATTTGCCATGCACCCTGTTTCCTGAACGCCATGCTTTATCCGTCATAGATCACATGAACTGAATGTACTAACATGAAAATAGAAATTTTGACCCGCGAAGGTATTGCTTCTGACAACGCCCGCTAAGAAAGGTCATACAACTGACGGCGGCAGCGAGACGTCGGGACATCTTCGCAGTGCCGGAAAAGAAAACAATGGGGTACTTTAATAAAACGACTCGGAACGCCTGCATGCTTTTGCGGCGATGGCAGGTCTCCATGTTGTCTAGGCATCGCGTTGCCCATCGGCCCGAATAGCGCGGTATGAGCCGTGGATTCGTGAGCGCATGTGAACATACTACATTGACTCGTGGTGATACGAGTCGTCGTGAGGTCGTAAAGGCCGTCGTGAACAGCTGCTCCGCCGTCTACGCATGGGCGTGGGTGCTCTTGCTGACCGAGGCCTCGTATATCGCGCGATGCTTCTTCATCTCATCGGCGTCGAATGCCAGAGCATCGCTGCCCTTTCTGCTAGCCAATGACGCCGAGCTGCCGTTGCCGAACTTGAGGCTGGCGAGAGATCGGGCCTTTTTGAGCGACTTCTTTCCAGCATTCGCACCTGTCTGGGGAATGTGGTCAGCGGCGGCCCGCTGATTGAATTGCGTTATCTCTTCGACTTCGGGCCGGGGCTTGACTCGCATGCGCTTGAACTCGCGAGTAATCCTCTCAAGCTTGCTGAGACCCTTGATGGACGGGGTGTAGCTCAGCATGGGCTCGGGCGACTGCTTCTCGTGCACGCTAGATTGTACGCTGGGCCGGCGCTCGGAACCAAAACTGA